AATATGTTTAAAAGAAAAGCATTTCTTTTATCATTTCTCTCTCAATTTAGGAATTCGAAGTTACAATAGATTACAAATTGTAATGTAATTTCTTAAAAAGTACGGATACGATTTTAGCAATGTTAAATCTTTTAATAAGAATGTAAAGTTGATGTTTGAAATATTTAAGTTCTATTTTGTCCTTTTTTTTTTATTTGTGCGGAGATAACTGACACATGTTTGAAGCTGAATCATTTAAACTTTAAACGGCAAGCGGACGACAATTTTCGAAAATGACGACATTGCATACGTGATTTCGAGGGACGCGAACGATTTAATAATATTCAAATATTTGAGTTTTACTTGACCCCTTTCCGCGCGCTCGCCGAGAAGACGTCGGCAGGAAGCATTTTTAGAGAAAAGGGACCTCTTTCGTTCGGGAAACGTGAAACGTAGAATGGTCGGTAAATCGGCGACACGTTACTGTCGGGATTTTCTGGTCTACCAAATTCTTTTGATTCGCTGACATTCAAATATTTAAGCCTGGTTCGACTCCGTATTCGCGAATCGACAAACTGTCACGCGGCAGAGAAAAAGCTCGGCGAAAGCGCTAAATAAAAAAACCCAATCTAATTGACACGTTGTTGAGATTGCTAGATTGTATTACCCGAGAAACGGAAGTTCTAATTTCATTAATTTTATCGAAATATCCACGTATCGTAGAATAGAATCAGATATCAACTCTTAGTTGAAACAGCCAAGTCTTTTATTCGACTTTGGGATTTCTAAAGAAAATCCACGCTCTGTGTGCCATTATTCAGAGAGAGAGAGCACTTTTCTGTTATACTTAGTTCTTATTTCTGCGATGAAAACCAGATCTTGAAAAATATACAGGGTGTACCAGGCTATCCGCAGATCCTTTCATCCGCAGATATATCCGGATTTTTTATTTATTTCTTTTAATTCCAAGACTTATGACTTCAGTATAGTAATATCTCTTTCTCACGCTTTATGTTCGCTTCAGCGGTTAAGAATTAAAATCTAATTTAGCTGGTACAATCAAACGAAATATTTCGCTGTATAGACTATCCGTTTGATTTTATAGTTTTATCTTAATGTAAAAAATACAAAACATATATCGCGAAATATTCCGAACTTTTTTGACACTGAAGAAATCGCGAATGCCGCAAAAATGAATTCGAGTTCCAAGTTATTGTTTGAGCTTTTTCACAACAGAAATCAAGATCGAAGCTCGTGTTCTTTACGCTCTTTTTATTCTCGCCGACCCGCGACCCTTCGCAAATCATAAGTCGCTTTCTTTCCGCGCCGCTCAAATATTTACGTTATTTGTTCGCTGGTGAATCAACAATCAACAGCCGTCGGCTGTCTCGACGCGAGAAGAGAGAGCTACGCGAATCGGAATCGGTGACGCGTGATTATCGAGATTTTTGAACCTATCGATCTCGACTGATCTCCAAGTAGTAACGGTCGACTGCTGGGCTCCATGCAGGGACGAAGGGGAGATATGAGACGCGCACCCTCTTTCGTCGACCCCTCAGCAATTAAATTAAACAACGTGGCCCGTGCGGAGAGAAAGCAGGAGAAGAAAAAGATTCTTCTTGCACCGCGCCGCGTCGCTGGATACTTGCTCAGCTCCATTTGCAAAATTAGAGATCTATTCGTCCGCGAGAGATGGCAATCGCTCTTGGAGAGCAAAGGTGACACGGCACAATGGTGACGCGTCAATCTCTCACCCTCCGCTTGCCCGCACTCACCCTCCAGAAGCCCTCCTTCATTCTCCCTTTTTGACCTCCCGTCCATTTCTTCCTCCGCGGATCTGTCCTACTTTCTTTCTCATCTTTTCTCATTTGTGTGAGAATTCATCACCGAAAAAGAATTCGCTGGTCGATCAGGGCTTCGGTCCATTGAATTTTCGTTCTTTTTTCTGTTCGCACGGAAAATCCTAGATAGAATAAAAATGATCCTTCGTCTAACAAAGTTACCCGATTAATGCGGAAAATAGAATACTAATTGGTGTAACCGAGCGAGCGATACAGGCCGTTGCATATCTTTAGTCAAACAGAGAAGAAAAAGTTTGAACACAGAAGTGGTTATTCCGTGTCCACGTGTATTGTCATAGTGTCGGGAGACGATTTAGGTATACGCGAGAGAAAACTGACATCTATTTCTCTCTCTTGATCGCGCGTATGCGCTTCCGATTCTCTTTCCGATCTCGAGAGATGCTTGCTTAGAATAATCCGCGATCTTTTTTTTTTTTTTTGGTCGATCGTGGGCGTGTCGTGAAGGGACGCGAAGGATGGGATTGTGGACCGGGTCAATAACCACTCCTCGTCAAATTTTTCAGCAAAGTAATTTTATTTTTCTCAAACTTCTCCTCCAAACTCCCTTTCTCTTTCTTCCATTAACTCAAGATATACACAGGACCGTCGCGCGTCGTTTCGCTCTTCGCCTCGTCGAGCTCGCGACGTTATTTACAGGACACTGTGCCGACCGTCCGGCGAGGTGCGTAATAAATAACGGTAATAATAATTATAATAGACTAATAATAATCGTAATAATGTAATAGTACTAAAGACGGCGACAGTAATAGCGGTGTCCCTTATTCGCAATTATAATGATAGTACTAATTTACAAATTGGGAAATCAAGCTCTCTCTTTCTTCGCGATGCTCTGACGGACTTTCGTGCGTGTCCTCTTTTTCTTCTTTATAATATCTATATTCATATATGTATATATATATATATTAAATCCTGTCGATATATTGTTTCTCCGTAGGTGCTATTTACAAAATTTACGGGTCTAATCTCTAAGCTATTTACAACCATAGAGTGCGCCCGGCCGCCGTGCCTGCACAACCGACGAATAAGGCCCCGCGCGTCCGCCCTGTTTTCCTTCGCGTCACGCTTTCTCGTTCTCCTTTCCTCTCCTACGTTCAAGCGTTCTTTCGATTTGTTAGTTTGTCGGGGATTGCGCGGGCACGGCTCCGAAGTAACAAAATAAATACTGACTAGCCCGTCCTGGCGTCTCCGCCTTGAGCGGCGGTAGCGAACGAACGGACGCCCCCGTTGATGAGTGAAAGCTCGCGTGATTCGAACATTTAAAATTGACAAATTAATTAATAATAAATTAACAGAAGCTTCTCTGTACGCGAGAAACTGTTACAAACGGTTTTCTCTGCGAGAGATGTGGGTGCATCGATAAGTGACGACACTGAATGCTTATTTCTGTTATCGTGTATATAAAGTAGTGTATTGTACTTTTTTCTTACAGGAGTAAGCATTCGAACAACTATGTCACGATTGTCTTCAAGTATTTTTGTCTTCTTCTGGCATTCGGATTACAAGACGCTTTCCTTTAGCAACTAGTCGTATAATTATATAAGAGTGATTTTTTTTAAGCATATATATAGTGCGTATAAAGTCATTTCTCTTTTCTAACTACCATTTCTCTAGAAATGTGAAAAAAACTAGCTACAATTTTTTCGAAGTCAGTGAGGAAGCATCGTGTGATCTGAATTTTTCAGAATTCTCCCGATAGCTAAGAGCCCAAGGACTATCTTTAATAAATAGCGTTTAGTCAAATTAGTCAGTATTCAATAAACATGAATTGTTATCATCTATATTCTAGCGTTTGCTCTAGAATTCTGTATAAAAATTGAATATGTGCGAATAACTGACCGGTTTTGCTTACCGCAATTTATTAAAGCCCCGTCTTGTAATTTTGCCCATTACTACTAAATATATTTAAAGCTTACGAGAAAGATTTACAAACTAAATATTAAATCAGAAATTGGCAGCACACACTCTTGCAGAGAAAATAGATTTCGAATCACGAAGCACACACAGCCTTAGTGTCAATGTCAATGAAATACCTGGTGCTATGCCTCCGTCCGCTCGCCGGAATCCGCAGGGCGCCAGATAATCTACGACGATAATCTTAGACAAGACGCAGCTGCGTCCCTTTTACGCTGCGACATCGCGTCGCGTCGCGGTCGTATCGCCTCGCCTCGCGTCGCGTCGCGTCGCGTCACGTCACATCGCGTCGCGTCACATCACGTCGCGTTGCATCACGGCCGCGGGACAGGAAGATAGCACACGACGCTTGGTAATCGAATGTCGCTCGGCCGACCTTGGTCGACGCGAGATACTCGCGAAGATATGTTGGAACTTCTGCCTCGGGGATACGCGTTCGGGACTCTCGCTCGGGAACTGTCCGGATTCCCGAGATGGAACCTACGCCCTTACGCCGCCACGAGACTGTCGATCGACGGCCAGGACGGCACGTGTCACGTGTCCTGGACGTGCAAGTAGACGTCCTGCTCCGGCTGACTGAGGAGGTGGTGTATCTGCTGCATGGTGCAGAGCGGACAGACCTCCTCCTCGGTGCCGTCGGCGACGAGCCTCCTGGCGGCTCCGGGCGCCCTTCTGCCGTAATCGACGATGTACGAGTAGCCGTCGGAGTCGATCGAGCTCGACCTCGTAGTCGTCAATCGCAACAGTCGCCTGCCGTTGTTGGGGGGATTCGCGGTCTCAGGACGACCGTATCTCGTGGACTCCAGATCCGAGTCTTTGAAATCTATATAGGAATAGCCCTCGGAGTCTACCGAGAGCCGCCTACGGCCCTCCTCTCGGACCGCGAACCTCGACACCGCGACGGAATCCGCCGGTCTTTTCGGGCTCGACGGCGTCCGAGCGGGGGAGGTGCGCGGTCCAGGTCGGTGGGGGGGAGGGATGGGGATGCCGGAGTCACGAGGTCTTGCGGGGACTCGTACGTCGGCCGGATAGCCATCGGCGGCCAAGACATCGAGATCTCGACACGATGGAAATTCCCCGCGGGAAAGCATAGGCGAGGGTGGGGTGGGAGGTGAGGGAGGCCGCTGGCTCGTGATCAGGGCGTTCTGCGTAGCTAGCAGCAGGTGACTGTCTCGCAGAAGGTTGTTCTCGTTTCGCAGCAGTAGCGGGCTGTTCGCGCCAGTGCCGCCCGAAGCAAGTCGAGCGGCGGACGACTGGGCGGTGGCAGCGATCGACAGGGGTACCCCCTGCGACTTGGCCAGAAGGGCGCGCGGCGTCCGGTAGCCGCCCAGGACCGCCCGCGACGGCTTGTCCTGGACGCGCAGTATCGACCTGGGGTCGCGATAATCGAGATAGTCGAGGTGATGCGGCTGCGGCGGTCTCTTTTCCCTGCGTGCAGGTAGCAGCGGTGGTTCGCGTGGTGGCGGAGGGACCCGCGGGTGGGCCTCGGGATTTCGTACCTCGATCGTCGGCGCCTGGCCGTGACTCGTCGGCAGGTGATTGTGCAGCTGCGAGTGCGACACCGCGTGATCCTGTAGGTCCTCGTAAAGAACGGCGCCGCCGGCACCGCCGCCGCCAATGCCGGGGCCCGGATGCGGCTGGCCGTCCGGCAGCACGCGACCCCGTCCGGCGACCGCTGCCGCGCCCGCTGCGCTCTTGCACGGCAGCAAGTTTTGCACTTTCCGTTTGTGCCTGTAACAGATAAGAAAAAGACGATGTTATTAAACGGATAAGCGACAAAAATATCTCATTTAAGAATAAAAGTGATCATGAATAAGAAATTGTACGAGATTGCTGCGCTGGTCAGAATTCATTACATCAGTGTGACATTTAGATTTTATATTTGAATTTTCTTATCGTGAGGACAATAATAAATCTTTCCGCACAATTATGATATAAACGAAACTGCACTCTGTGTTTTATAGGAAGACAATGGAAGGCATTTTCTTCAGAATATCTTTTTCCTTCCGCGTAACTCTTGCAAATTCAGACATGCGCACGTTTCAAGTTAAATTCGGTCAGTTGGGACGATTCTATAGGTATGTTGCTTCTCTGGTTTCATTCGAAACACCATCTCGGAAAGCTCGCAGCAAATTCCTCAAGTTGGACGAGCGGAGGATGTTGATATTCTACTTTGCTCTCATCTCCCACTCCCTCCCTTCTCTTCTCCCTGCCGTCGACCAGCCCCCGTCGACACACCAGATTAGTTGGGAGCTCGTTGCAATTGTTTGTACAGGCAGGCGCTTTGCTGTGGGCGCGCTCGAGAGCTTTCCTCGGTGTAAACTTTAATGAATCGGGCACTGCGTTTGCCTATCAGCGTCGTTTTACGCGTATACAGGGTGTCCCGAGGTTGCACTTCCTTTTACCCTCTGATCATTTTATGATTGACATTTTTATCAATGAAAATTATCGTATTTTCTTATTTTCTCATGTTAAATATTAAAATTCTGTTATTCAACTACCGGCAGTTATCGAGAAATTGGGCAATCAGATAACAATAGAATTCGTCATGAATTAACGCGAAAAATTTTGGAACTCTTTCAAATTTGTAATAAAAGATCTAAACAAATAAATGGCATTATTAAAGTTAAAAAAATTTTATTTTGTTATAACAGAATTTTAATATTTAACATGAGAAAATAAGAAAATACGATAATTTCGAGATACCCGGTACATCTGGCGGCTCTTCGCCGCATTCATCATCTTCTACGCGAATTAACATATGCTCGACGAGCGCATAATAACGCGGTCGTGATTGCTACTTGGCCGGTATCTGTGCGATTGTACAAATACACATCTGTAATACGCGCGCAAATTGGCCCATACTCTCACTTCGAATTAGCATTGCATCTTGCGCGGAATGCGGACAATCTAATTCTGAATTGTACTAAATCTAATATATGCGGACAGTGACGTTCGTGCTGTTAAACCAGGTCACAAAACTACCGTGTATTTCAATACACGCATATATTCATCTCGAGAAGGTACCGAGATAAATTAAAAAAACAAAGAGCAGGTAGCTCATCATGTTTCTAAAATTTTTTGTTTCGAGATAAAGTTACGGTATAATTATCAGGATAGATGATCATTTTCATGTATTTTAATATTTCGCACTGTAAGCTCATTCTTTCTCAATACGATAAAAGAGATTTCAAGCGTACGGAGGTAAAATGAAATTTTACGAAAACTATTATGGTACTCCTTCACATATATTCCACGTTCCAGATAAGATAATGTCTGGCAGTCCGTCGAGTGTTAGCTGCGAAATTTCGCACATCGCAGCGCCTCGAAGTGATACGCGTGCATCTCTGACCTGTCCATCACGGTCACAGTCGTCTCCTCCGCTAATCGCAGGTCGCGCTGGCTAAAGCGTTTAAACTCGGCTCGTCCGACTGTGGGGATTCACTTATCCGAGAGAGGATTCGCGGTATAAACGCCGACTCTGACGAGGGTCCCGAGAGTTCTGCCGACCGGAGATAATGATGCTGGAAACATACGGCCGCTGATCTCCGGTCGCTAGATTCCTCTTTTTTAGAGGGATTTCTTCGTCAACGTACCGTTGGCGCCACGTAGTCGTAGTCGTAAATCACGAGAGAAATTACGTGTAATTTATTTAATCCTATAACTCGTCATAGAAACTGCGCTGAGTAATTAAGAAAGAATATTGTGATGCCCTCTTTTAAAATACACTAGTAAATTTCAAACATTTTCGGATTTTCATAAATAATTTGCAATAATACATTAAATATTCAACCTCCTTAGAAAAACAAGATCTTGTTCGCATTAGTTTTTTGATAAATGGAAATATATTTTGTAAAAATGTATTTTGCGGAATATTTCCTTAGCCATTGATTATTATTGACATTTTATAAAATAAAAACTTTTACCATCTAGAATTGTAAAATCATATTTTTATACTCGTTTTAGAAAAATTTACAAGTATTCCGTGGCGAAATGAAGAACATATATGACATCACGAAAACGCGAAAACTCCTATCGATTTTTCTTTATAATTATTTCTTCAAACGTGGAGAATCTTTAGTTTGCGATCCTTCGTTTTGCATCTTTCAACTTTCAACGTATAGCGCATCACCGATGGTATCTGCATGTATATGTTCATGTATATTCAAAGACCAGGGCGCCGTTCGGCTCGCAAAGTAGTTTACCCTTCAAGTTTTAATTATCTAATTAACTCTGTCAGTTCGATAATATTTGCCCGTGTAATTAAACCACAAGCTAAGGTTAACAACTTGCGCTGCACTTTCAGCAGTAGGTCGAGATGAAGTTGAGAAAACGGAAAGATCCGCGTCTCTTTTAAACTGAAAAGAGCGGCGAGAAGGGGAGATGCGGATGAGAAGGCGGAAAAGGTACGGTATAAATACGAACTGATCGATTATCGGATCGCTGAATATGATTTCTGCCTCGTGACTCTGCTCGCGTATAAAGCTCCGACTTGCAGGAGCATTACGTAAACAACATTCGCGGATGACTTAAGAGTAGACTCGCTCACGTGGAGTATTGCGTTTGCATACGAATACGCACATTATTCGATGGTAAACATGATACTTTCTTACAAATGGCGAAATTTGATTTCTCGAAGTACTCGAAGCACTTGCTGCTTCACTACATTCTCAAATCAGGAGTATCAAATTTAAGTAATTTGTTGAAGCGGAACTTCACTCTTTTGGCGTTTTCTTGTTAATATCGCATTTGCGTCGTCTGCCTGGCACTACCACATCAATTCTCTTCCCTGCGCTTCGTCATCGTCATCGCGAGTAAAGATTTTTCATTATGCTCGCTTACAACTGCCCGCTCTGCACCCTATTCCATTTCCTAATAGATTTTATTTAGTCATGATGATACGGGGAACGGTAATGATCGTCGAAGGGCGACGAGTTTGAAGAAAAGCTCGGCTGGCGACATAGAAAACGATTCAAGCCAATTTCACGCCCTCATCGATTTTCAAAAGTGCACGGAAGGAATTAAATTAATTTCTTAAGTGAATCAAAGACGCAAAAAAGATCCCGAGAACGAAAATCTGAAAAGAATTATTTCTTTGGGTAATATTTTCCTTATGAAAAGAATTCAAGAAAATATACTTTAAATTCTTATAAGAAAGCTCTTTATATGTATTTTAAGTATTTAAATAACAAGATCTCGTAAAAAATACCGTTTCCTTAATTTTAATTTGCTTAACGTTCAACTGCACGATACGACGAGTTTCCGACGTAAAAGCGGCCTATAAGTCTGCGCGAAACGACAACGTAAGACAACGTAGGTTGTCGACACAGTGTATACCTCGGGATCTTCCTCGTGCGGATGGAGTCGAGGGAACACCAAAGTGAATTCGCTCGATGCTAAGCGCTGAATAGGTCATTTAAGCCGAGCTTTTAACTCGAGCTAATTAACTACCATTCCCTCCCTCCCCCTCCGTGTCCTTCGTCGCTCGTTCACTAGCTCGCTCTTGCGCTTTCACGACATTTCTCTCTTTCCTTCGACTTTTTCGACTCACACACGTCTTCGTGTTCAGATAATATACATGACGGGATATGAGTCTACCGATTCGAATGCACCTCTGATACATTATTGGCGCGAGAATAATACGAGCGATAAAAGGAATAATCGATAATCAGTAAAGTGTTAAATACAAGCAAGTGTCAACTTGATTGAAATTACTGGAATCATTTTACTATATTGATGCATCGTTCTGTTCTTGTAAAATATATTGTTAGAATGTATTTATTTTCCATTCATCTATTTTCATCATCTGCTTTTAATAGGAACCTCTATTCTATATTTATTATTTCTATATTTATATTTCTATCGGTTATAGTTAGTTCTACTAAATTTTATTATATATTTGTTAATTATGATTATTCTAATAATAATTTTGCATACAAATTCAAAGGACAACCTCTCATAAATCTATTTTTTTTTTCAACAACATCAAGATACTTAAAAAAAACGGTCATTTGTTTTTATTATTTTGTCAACTCCTTATTATTCTCTACCGCAGACACAATAACTTTATAATCTTAATCAGCGAGTTTAAGATTATGGCGGATTTGAGAATAGTGTGAGGATGTTTAGAAGCGGATTAGCGAGCTTTTGTACACTGGAGGGTCACATCCGATACTCGCGCGTACGTGCACCAAAGGCGCGAGACCGATCATAAAGTTAGAACCTGAGACATCTAGGATCTCGAAGTTTACTCGCCGTTCTCACGCGTGCAAACGCGCTAGAGTCTCTTGTAAGTTTCTCGAAACTACAAATTTTGCATATCAATGCGGACTAGATACACCCCGACCGTCAGCGTCATCGCGATAGACATCTTCTCACCTTCGCCATGACATCCATGCCTTTCAAATGTTAGATAGATCTAATAAAGAAAAATTTTTTAAACGTTTTTTAAACCTGAAAGAAATTTCTCCATTGGAGAACAGGAATATCGCCACTTTTCATTTTTTTACCGTTTCGAATTTACTGCCAGAATATCTTTTTAAAAAGATATATTAGAAACTGTCCAGATTCAGATTTGCATCAGTTATATCGAATTTCTAAAAATAAAATAAAGAGTAAAAATAGATATGGATGTAAAGTCGGACGTAATAGTTTGTAGTAATCGATAAGCCGCCTAGTCAATCTTGAAGATAAATACCGTCATCAGAAGTACCTATTGTTATTACCGGGAG